GCCTGGTGAGCCCAGGGTGAAGGAACCTATTGGCCATGGCAAGGATTTTTTACATGACCCTCTGGCCAATGAGGAGCCAGCAGTCTTAAAACGTGGAAGTGAGTGGCTCACACCAGTGACTTTGGAAGATCACCTTGGCAGGTATGGAGCAGGTACATCAAGGAAGGTCGAGTGTAGCAGGAGCTCTCTCCATCCAGATGGAAGGTGATGGGCATGTGAAGTGCGGCAGGGTCAAAGGAGGAAAATGAGGCCAAGACAGGTGCAGAGATTTGGGAGAATCTGGGTTCAGCAGGTCTTGGGGTTAGGACCCAAGGAGGCAAAGACAACTAGGCATGGAAATGAGGTGCACTCTTGAAGCTGCAATCCCTAGAGCCTGATTTCAGAGGATCAAACATCAGCTCAACCACCGGAAAGTAATTTCGAACTCACCCAGATTCCTTGCTTGTACTCTTCACTCCTGTGGATGGCGCTGTATGGTGCGCGGGGACATTTCTCCAAAGCCTCCTTCCTTCGATCTGCTTGCCTCTTGTGCTCGAGGCCCCCGGCATCTCTCCCTGTGCCTGTTCCACCTCTTTCCTACTCTGCAGCGCAATGCAAACGCCTAAAAACACTGGTTGGTGGTGCCGAACATTCCTCAGGGAGAGGAAAGACACTGAACGCACCAACCAGAATTGGGGAGTGAGAGACGCTGTCCCACCAAGTGAGCAACAGAGCGCCGATGCTCACATGTCCTCTGGGTAGAACAGAGGAGGACCAGCCAACTGCTGGCTTCCCCACCAGGCACAGGGCCCGCTGAGAAGCCAACCCCTCTCAGTATTTTCTCTTTGTTCACCTGTGGCAGATGAAATGGCTGCAGGAGAATCAGCATCGGCAGGAAAAAAGCCAAATAGGATGCCTGAGAAGGTGCTTTGCATCTTTCTGTGGAGGCTGCTTCCTCTTGCAAGCTGCTGCTGTTTGGGGGAGAGGGAGTTGGTATAGGAGCCACGGTATTCCCAGGCAGCCAGGCTTTCTAGAGTGGGGAGCCAATGCGGGGCAGAACCACCAGGATGGCCACATTTCAGGAGCCCAACTGCATGCACCTTACACCTCAGGACGATCCTTGGAGAATGTGGTCCTGCGAGCGGAGAAGTGTTACCCAAAGAAGAAAGTAACACAGCAGTTATGCGACAACACAAATCAGCACTCCGACATGGAAATAAGGCTTTAGAATGTCAAATAGCTATAATAGAGGAAAGAGCAGAAATTCTTAGTTGTAATCATTTGCCAAACTGGAATGAAGACTTAGTCATTGCAGGATCAAAAATGGCCTGTGTGCCATATTAACGGAAGAACCTCCTGCCTGCCAAGCACTGGTGCTTTGTGATAATGAAGCCTTATGAAGTGTGTGTGCGTGTTTGTGTGTGTGCGTGTGATCAGATTTCCACTTTACCACAGAGATAAGAAGTCAGAGAGGTCTCAGGTCCTTATTGGTGATTGCCGCTCTGTTTGAATAAACTGCAATTTTGTTGATTTAGTTTACTCTGAAAAGTACGTCACATTTTTAAAGAACTAGCAGATCATCAACACATGCCACATTTCAGAGCTGTAATGAAGCATGATTACAATGGGATGAGAGTGTAATTTTTAATATAACCCTAAATGGATGCGTTCAAGAGCGTGCCGTCCCTTCCCAAAATCATCACTTTGTGAGTCTACTCATGTTTTCCAGTGCTTCTGTGATTGCTCAAACAATTGTTTGATCTGGTGTTCAGAGCCACATTATTTGAAACTCCAGAAAATCATTCTTGTGGCTTCCCAGCCATGCTTCATTTTTTTTTTTACCCTACTAGTATTGCTTGGTTTGATCCCCTACTGAATTCACAGCCCTGGTTCTGAATGACTTTTTCCTCTTTTGAAAGTCATCACCATCCAAGGCGAAATGGTTGAGAACAGCAAGGAAGTGCAAAGGAATAATTTTTCTTACCCTCCGAAACTTGGAATTAAGGCTTAGGTTTTTTTCCAAATAATTGCTCTTGGGTTAAAAACATGCCTGCAGACTTTGATTTATCATGAAGGGTTATTTGGGAATGAATGAATGGATGAAATTGACAAGCATTCAGTGTTTGTTATGTGTCCTTTATTAATGGGTCCAGGTAGGTATTGGGATGCGTTGTTGGATAAGCAGTGGCTTTTGGTCTCACAGAGTTCTCAAACTGATGGGAAGATAGACCCACACGTGGATGAGCATTATGGGACATGCACTTGGAACATCTCGGGCAGGGGCGGGGAGTGTGGGCTGGGATGGCTCCCACAGAGACCAGTCGGCTGTAGGAAGCAGTGCCAGGGAAAAGAGGAAGGCCAGCAAGTGTGTGAGCACTCACACCCTTGCTGGCCAAGCCCCTCCCCGCCATGGAGTCAACTACGACTGGGCAGTTTATCCAAGAGGCCCAGCAAGGGCAGTGGCTGGGGCCCACCATATGTTCAGGGCTCACAAAAACGTTTTCTTTTAAAATCAGAAGGATGTAAGTCAGTCTGGATTCTATTTGTCTATATACAAATGCAGTCATAAAATATAACTTTTACTATTTCTTTAAAAGGAATCATTATATTTCCTTTTGGAGGAAGGGGTCCAGGAAGGCAGAAGTGCCTTGGGCCCCAGAAAGGCGTAATGTGGTCCTGCTTCAGACTGATTCTCTTAAGTGATGTCCCGGTGTTGCCCAAATGGGGACAGGACAGTCAGATTTGCACCCTTGTGCAGGGACAGTTCCTGGCACTTAACTCTTTGCTCCTGGGGTGCTGGCCATCAAAAGCTCGTTGGAAGCTTTGGCGTGCAGAATCAGCAAAGTGGAAGAGGAGAGCTGCTGAGCAGAGAACTGACTCCTTGTTTGCAGTTGAAAGAGAAGCCCCCAGATGTCAGGTGGGGATCAGGGAAGACAGCAGGAAAAAGGGGGTGCTGTGGACACCAGGGAGCTTAACCAAAGAGAACCAGAACTTAACTTCAGAAGGGAGCCGCTTTGATTTTTCTTTCTTGAAAAACAGTGGATTTAGGGATGGGGGAGAGGGAAAGAAATGCATAGGCTCTCCCCTGCCTTCCAACGCGTTGTCCCAACTCACTAAGGCAGACGAAATGTGGCCAGGCCATCTGAGGTCAAGAGGAAGATGCTGGCAAAACAGGGGCAAAGGGGCCTGAGGTGTGAAGCACTCTCTCCCCTGAGTGTCTAATATCCTCCAAGAGTCTGCACACGCGTGGAAATCGGGCCAGGGGCTCAGACCCAGACAAGGCTCCTCGCGCAGGCCAGCTGCTTTCTCTGGGAGGGAGCTCTTGCGGATGACGATAGGGATGATGGGCATGGGCTCCCAGGTTCCTGCTGACATTTACAGTCTCACCGGCAGCTCTCCCCTGCCAGTCACTTCTTAATAAAGCATGTCACCCAGAGATGGCATGGTGCTGAGCTCCTTCTGCCCTTTCTTCTTTGCACCTGGCCTTCTTTCCATCACTGAGGTCTGGCTCTCCCACAATAGCTTTCTCCCCAGAACCACAGGCCTAAGAGATTTCGAGGCGGCTGATTCTGATTCCTAGACCCTCGCCACTGTCTATTCTCGGTTGTCCGGGTTGGCCTGCTCACTTCCAAAGAGTGGGAAGATGTCAGCTTCATGCTCTGCCTCTCTGATTTCGCCTAATTCCTGATCATCTAAGAGAACCCAGCTATCTCCTCGAGGCAGATCTTAAGAATGAGAAGATGAAGCGTCCGGAGAGGCGAGCTGGGCCGACGGCGCAGGGTTGGAGCGCCAGAGTGGGCCAGCTGTGAGGTCGGGCGGGGCTGCTCCACGCAGGCGCATCTGTGCCGCCCCTGGGGCCCGGGGCTCAGGAGGGCCCGTGCCATCCGCCCTGCTCTCCTGCTGCTGCCTAGAAACTCCTACCACTTTTTGAACAAGGAGCCCCGTATTTTCACTTTGCTCTGGGCTCTGCAAATATGTACTGGGGCCTGGATCTCGGGCAAGATCGTGAGAACAACACCAAACTCCATGCAGCAGCGCCAGGCGCTGTGCTAACCTCGCGGTGCGTGAACACATCTCACCCCAAGTCTGTGAGGCAGTTACTGGGATTTATTGTTAGCTCCATAGTACAGAGGAGGAAACGGAGGCACAGAGAATTTAGGCCACTTGTCTAAGGTCACAGAGCTAGAATGTAGGAGGACAGGGATCCATCCAGACTCTGTTCTCATGGCCCCATGTCCTGCTACTGCCCATCCAGGAACTTGCTCTCCCCTGAGTCTGTCTCTGTGCCTCTGGGGGCCAGACATTCCAGGGCTCCACCTCCGGGGAAGGGCCCTGCTTCCTTTCCAGATGGTTCTGGTGCACTAGTTCTCCCATACCCTGAATCCAGTGGAGGGAGGTCTTCTCACCCAGACAGGTCAATCCACCTTTCTCTTGTGGGAGACTTCCCCCAGGGCAGTGTCATCAAGTGGTCGCCCACATCCTGTTGCTGACCATGAGTTCCTGCTAGCTGGACACTGGGTCTGCCTGGTCCCCACCCCAGGCACCCTGTTCAGCTCCTCCTTGAATTCCATGTGCCTCCCTCTGGCTCTGAATTAGCCTGAGCCGCCCCTCGTCGGTGTCTTACAACCATAGAACCCTAAGGGGGCAGGACCACAGGTGCAGCACCGTGACCACGCCGGGGTTGTGGGGACAACGACGCTTGCTTCCTGCCTGGCACAGACCTGACACACAGTAGATATTCAGAGAAAGGTGGTAGTAGCATTCGAGCTGAAAGTTAAGAAAGATGTTCTTCCCATTCCTGTAACTTCGCGAAACTCACAGTATTACTGGGAATTCATTCTTGCGGCTGCTAGGAGAAATTACATGTTTATCATACGCTCAGCTGAGAATCCAAAGGAGCTCTTTATTCTAAAGTGAAATGGGGTTTCATCTTTGACAGGTGTCTTTTTCATAATGCTGACATCTTTCTCAAGTAAGAACTTCCTTTAGAATCTCTGCGAGCAGATTGTGAATGGTGATCCATGTTGGCAGACAGAGACAGCCCTTCAGCTTCTCCAACAGCTGCCAAGAAGAGGTCTGGTATGTCACATTCAAAACATTGCACGATTGTCTGCCTGCAAGCCCCCCCACCCTCCTTCCACCAGTATCATATATGAATGTAAAGGAAATGAACGGTTTGCCATGGAGAAGCGTTGATGCTCTAGGCTGAATCAGGCAAGTCTTTAATAGGCTTTCATTGAAAATAAGGACAATAATTCCCAAAGAAGTAGAATTCGTAAGTCCTCATAAAGCTTTCAAAACCAGATTATTTGTGCTATTCATATCTGGGATTGAAGTCGACTGTAGGAAGGTCCCCCCAGCTCCCGCTGCCCAGTGGGGGCTGGCCCGGGGGCCAGGGACCGCAGCAGGGCCCACCTGGCTCACCTCTAGCACTCAGTGTCCTAGTTAGAAATCCCCAAAATGTAGTCCGCCCTTTCTCCACCCTGCCGGTTCTCGAGGATTCACCCAGAAATTTAAAAGAAGACAATAGGCAAATATTAAAAGGACTTTAGGTCCGATGACTCTTCTGGGCAGCCTAGCAGTCAGGAAAGGCAAGCAGCTCCAAGAAGCTAGCAGGAACGCCCAAAAAGTCCTGCAAGGCTCAACAATTCTAAATCAAATCCTCTGTGACCATCAGGAGGTTTCTTTTAATCTTCCCATCTTTGAGGCCAACTTGATCAAGATGAAGATCAATGATTCAGAATGAATCATTACCCACAGCAAGGAGTCTTAATACTTCCTCATGTGTTCTTTGCACCTAAACTATGTGTGCTGGCCACGGAAGCAAGCTTTAAAGAACTTTGGCAATGTGACCCCATTTCAGGGCCCCTTGCCTCACTCATCGATTCTTCCCATGCACAGAAAATGTCACAAGCTCCCCAGTTAGGGCGCATTCCCTAGTCTTTCTAACCTAGCACAACTGGCATTTATTTTGAGAATGTTAAATAAGAGAAACCGAAGGATCACCTGTACAACCTATCAATCCTGCTTCCTTTGTGCCGTTCTGCTGGGAAAGGGGAGCATGCGTGCCAACTGAAGAAGGAGCATGGTAGCGTTTAGGGGGTTCCTTGCAATTCAGAAAGTGGAGGTGAAAGAAAACCTTTCCTGTTCCCTCAAGAAAGGAGGGAGGCAAGAGTAAGATTTCAGTCCTCTCCTCATTCTGTCCACAATGAGAACTGGGTGTAGACGGGTCATTTGCAAGACCTCTGGTAAATAGTGAAAAACAGAGGCAGAGAGGTCCAACCTCTCTGCTTAGTCTCTGGAAGGACTTTGTTGTGGATGACCATGGGGGCACAGAAGGTGAGTGCTGCTGTGTTTTCCAAGCCAGAAAGAGAGATAATTCCTCCAGGGCTCCATAAGCCATCGGGTGGAGAGGGAGAGACCTAGAAGTTTCTGCTGCTCCAGGGGAAGACCCAGAGAGCAGAGAGCCATTGTAGGCTCAGGTGTCTACAGGAGTCCTTTCCCTAACAGCTGCCACAAGGCTGTTCCCACCTTACCCAAATGTCTCTGGGATGGGGCAGGAGGCAGTAAGAGAAATCCCAGACACGAAGTCCTCACCCCAATACTCCCGCTGATCTGAAGGTGGCCCTTTAAATAGAAGGAGATCCTTATGGAGCAGCCGAGTTATGTTTAAATGGCAAGTTTAACACATTTCCAGACCTTCCCCTGCCCTACGAGTCCGGGTATGGATCCTGAAAGCACAGAAAGCATCAGATAGAGAAAATAGGAGGCAGGGGTTATCGCTCACCCACCTCTCTGTGGCTCGGCTGCCCCATCTGTAACATAAAACTGAGTTTTCCTATATCTAAAAAGTTGTCCTAAGGATGACATCCTTCACAGTACTTTTGGAAACGTGAATGTGCACATCATCACAGTGACAGATCCTCAGCCTGCAGAAGGAAGGGGCAGGGGATAAAGACGAACAGCCCCCCATGCCAGGCACGTAAGTCTCCTGGCGCACCCGGAGCTGGGGTGCTTCTCCTGGCCTCGTTTGGGAGGTCTTGTGCCAGGGCTTTGCTGTCCAGCTTGATTAGATTTTTCTGATGAGGTAGTTCCTTGCCTGAACCCTCCTGGTCTCCCTTCCTTCCTCCCACACACCCACACTTCGCAGGTATTAAATTTTTCCTTCTGGCCAGCATCTGACCCCGATTACAAGCATTTCTCCACTAAACATCTGACAAGATTAGGAAAAATGACACATAGAGCAGGTGAGATGCTCTCAGTGGGCTCAGAAACTTTCATTAGTTCAGGAGAGAATTGTACTATCTGTGACTGATTGTATGGCAAGAATATTAGTTGGATGTCTTTGAAATGTTCACGAACCATATTTAAATAATTAGCCTAAACAGGCAAGATGGTGACACCACAGCAGGGGTGCATGGGCTGTAAGCCCCCCACCCCAAACCCAAACTGTGTGTAGTGTGGATTTCATATTTATAATCAGGTTAATATTCTTTTTTGCAGAAAATCGAAGCATACTTAATATTCATTGATAGCTTCAGATTTCTAAATAAAATATTTTTTTAATGGTAAAACAATCCATGAAACAACAAGCATTTTGGTTAGTTAGAAATTTATCTTTACCCTGTTTAGGCATCTGCCGTTCAAAAGGCTCCCTCTTTTAGAGATAATGATATGAAATTAATTTAGCTGGGAGATCAGGATCATTTTGTAGGCCGAGGTGGAAGCTTCCAGTAGATAAACTTTCAAGTGCCTTGCATTTATTTGTCCATGGATACAACCCTAATAAAAGACTGTAAAGTTTAAATGGGTACGTAGTTGGAAAACAACTATGGTGCTCATAAAAACTAGATGGTAGAATCCATGGATGAGAGGTCTGAACCTTATAGGGGAAAAGATGCAGAGAGAAGTCAAGATTAAGAACATATTCAGTGGGTTCATCAGAGAGATAAGGTTTATAGGAATGCCTGGGTCCTGGAGGGCTGCCTATAGGGAAAAGCCTACACTCGGCAAATCTAGCAGTTTCTCCCCTCAGAACCTGGAGGGTCTGAGGATTTTTTCCCCCCCTTTAAGCCTTCCCCGGGGAGCCCAGGCAAAGTTCTGTAGGGGATGTGAGTCCCTGCCCCAGTCCCACCATGGGGGATGGTGGGACCTCGATGGCTGGGCAAAGGCTGTTCTTCTTCCTTGCATCTGCTTTCTTCTTGATGATACTCGGAGAGATTGTCTGGGAAGTAACCTCTGCCAGGTGAAGGAGGGGAGCGGGAAAAAGAGTCAGGGCTGGGTCCCAGAGCTGGCGGTCATCTCTTTGCAGACTCTAGTCTCCCTTGGTTACCACTGTGTGGGCATCACACCCTGGCTAGAGCATCACTAGAGGGACCCAAGATGTCCACCCCAGAGCCCATATGGTGTCCCTGTGTCCCCATCTGTTAATAGGGATGGTGCAGAGGGTGGCAATGAGGTGGTGCATGGGAATGCACCTGAGACACATTGTTCTCTTTCCTGGAGATTACCTTAGTCTGGTCTCCTCTGGCAGGGGGAGGGGGGAAAGAGAGAGAGTTGGAAGGAAGAGATGGCCCACAATTATCCTGGCAGTCCCTCCTCAGCTTCTAGACTTTCATCTCCACTTGGCTTCTCCGGGGTTGCCACAGCCACTGGACAAGGGGGCCCCAGTTTCTTCCTCTGACCTTTCTCCTGTCCTTCCTCCTCTGCCTCCTCCTCACCTCTGCTCTTCCAATTCGTGCTGTCTTCCTCTTCATCACGCCCAGGGTTACACTTAATCAATCAACCTCTCTTGGCGCCACTTGGCCATGACACCCTGCACCGTGACGTCTGGTCAGCTGTGCCAGGACCATCCTCATGGGTACCCTCGATCACCTCTCAAGACCCTTGGGCAGCTGTTGTTAATTCCCAAGGTAGGAACCCAGGCACTCTTGGTGTCCTTGGTGCAGCTCCAGTGTCCTTCCTTTCTCCTGCAAAGGTGATGGGGGACTGGGTCTGTCGCACATTGATGCACACTGTTATCATCCAAGCTTTCCCCACTGACAGTCAGGGCCATCAATCTTGCGTCTGTCTGCCACCCCGCTCCCACCCCCAGGCTGGAAGGGAGTGTGGGGATGGGTGACTGGTGGCACAGCAGGCAGGAAAAGCAGGAAGAAGACAACCTCTGGTGCACATATTGTTCCTGTTTCCCCCACAGCCCACCCTGTGATTGATGAGAACAAGATGTGGCCCGAGGAGGAGCTCATAAAGTATTTGTTGAATAAACACATTCTCTTTCCAGAATAAAACTGAACAGGTTATTTTCCTTGTAAAACAAGACTTTGTCATAGTCCTTAGTTTTTTCTTTTTTCTTTTTTTTTAAGTAGGCTCCACACCCAACATGGGGCTTGAACGCAAGACCTTGGGATCAAGAGTCAGATGCTCTACTGACTGAGCCAGCCAGGCATCTCTTTTGCCATTGTCCATTTGCAGTTTAGTGGCTCATTTTCTTTATTTCTTCATTCATTCACTTGTTCATTCATTCATCAAATGATTATCGAGTCCTTACTGTTCTTTGTGGGGATAATGAAGCAGTGAACACGACTGTAAACTCCCCATCGCTGGTGGGATTAGGGCAGGGTAGCAAAAGCAAACAAAAGAAACAAAGGCATCAGACGGCTGTGGGGGATGTGGTAGGGGCTTCCCTGGTGCTTTGGTGGGGGCTCAGGGAAGGCCTCACCGCAGAAGTGATATTTAGACCAAGTCTAATGCAGGTGGATCCAAGCATGCAGACTCAGAGGGGATTATATCCCAGGTAGACAACGACATTCCAGGTTCAAGGGAGAGAGAGAGAGGGCTGGTATGTTTGGGACGAGAGGGTAAATGAGTCTGGGAGGGTAAATGAGTCTGGGAGGTGGGCTGAGTCCAGATCATGTGCATCTTTTCTCATGGTGAGACACAGTTGGCCCTTTGGCCAGGTCGGATCCTCACTGTGCCGGACTGCATCCAGGTTTTGAGCACTAAATGCACTTGCAAGTCACTGTGACAAAGGAAGTCCACACCTCTTCACCTCCAGCCCCCTTGGGAGTCCAACACCTGCTGAGTAGGGCTTTTAGGCTAGGGACAAGAGCTTGGACTTTATTCTCAGTGCAATGGAAGACATTTCAGTATCCAATTTACATCATTAGATATTGTTACCGATCACTCTGTCTACTGTATGTCAAAGATTTTAGGGAGTAAATAATGGCAACGGTGAAGCCAGGCAGCAGGCTCATTGCGGGCTGCATCAGACATGTTGGCTATGTCCATACGGCACCCTGGGGAGTGTAAGAGAAAGAGACACAAACTGGGGAGTCAAGGGCAAACGTCAGGACTCTATAAGGTTGTTGAGGGAGATTGTGTAGAAAGATGAGAAGAGTGTCCAGGATGGAGCCTGGGCACTCGGCACATTCAAAGTTTTATGAGAGGAAGAAGAGCTGAAAAGAGGTGGTAAAGGAATAATCAGCGAGGGAGGAAAAAAACTAGTAGCATATTTTATTGCTAATTATCTAAATCAACATGTAAAATACGTCATTTATCTCACATACTGTTTCTTTTTTTTTTTTAAAGATTTTATTTATTTATTTGACAGAGAGAGACACAGCGAGAGAGGGAACACAAGCAGGGGGAGTGGGAGAGGGAGAAGCAGGCTTCCCGCGGAGCAGGGAGCCCGATGCGGGGCTCGATCCCAGGACCCTGGGATCATGACCTGAGCCGAAGGCAGACGCTTAACGACTGAGCCACCCAGGCACCCCTCACATACTGTTTCTGATGGTTTCTAAAAATAACTGTATTTCACTGAATCGAAGACCCTGTCAGTCAGAAGATATACCACTATTTCATGCATCACCAAGAAAGAAAAATATGTTGCCAATTAAAACTATGATGCCTTTATTGTAAAATGTATACCTGCCCCAAATGTCTGCCTCCAGAAGAAGAAAGGAAGAGCTTAGAGCTTACTTATTTCTTGATGGTGGTTCTTAACAGGGGGCAATCTAGTTTCCCTCCCCCAGGACATTTGGTCGTATCTAGAGACATTTTCGTGGGTCACAGGTAAGGTGGTGGTGCTATTGGTATCTACTGAGTAGAGGCCAAGGATCCTGCTAAATATCCTGCCAGGCTCAGGGCAGCTTCGAACAACCACGGATCATCAGCCCAAAATGTCAACAGTGTCAATGAGGCAAAACCAGGCTCTAAAGAAACAAGGAGATTTGCTTATGCTTTCTACATTCCACTCTCACCTTCTGGATTTCCTTTACCTTTTATTTCCATAGAACATGGATCTTAAGCACTGGGCCTATCCTGCATGCATATATGAAAACTACAGAAGCATTTTAGGAGCAACCATGATTTGGAGCAATGATTTATTTCAATAAGTTAACCTTAAGCCCTGCACAAGCCTTTATTTCTCCTACTCTAATATAAAACCAGAAAATACACTCAGCCACATTCTGCATTTTAATTATACTTTCAGAGGGTATAACAGTTATATGAATTAAGAAGCAGTAAACTTAAATTAATTTTCTTCATATATGCCAAAAGATGCAGGCCTTAATGTGTGTCATAAGGTGTGAACAACGGAATCAATTGTAGAATTTTTTTAAAGATACCCAAACCCTAAATTACACTGAGTTGCTAGCTTTTTCCAACTGGTGATTTGTCTCCTTAACATCATTTGAACACAGTTCCACACTGTAGGCTTAGCAAGGATCTAAACCCCGTAGTAAAAAAGTTGGTGCTTGTGGGAAGTTTCCGGGTGTCATAACAGGAAGCTCTGGAACTTATAAAAAAGAAGACTTCTTTGATCTTTTCAGTCCAAGATCTGTCTGACTTGATGTGCTTGAACTTCTGAAGCATGAGTCAGAAAGTGTCACCCAACTTTAGGGGTGACCGAGGAGAAGCAAAAGTCAAAAAGAATTTGTTGCTTCTCTCTCTGGCTTTCATGCTGATGTCAAGAGGACATTTGTGAGAAGGGCATGGGTGTCTCTAAGATAGTTACCTTGTGACAAATAAGAGGTAAACTTTCACCGAGAAATCCGTTAAATTCCAAGGCTGAGTCCAGTGCTAATCCGCCCTTTAGGTGTTGACAATAGGTCTTCACATGTTTTAACTACACCATAAGTATTGGTCACAGACATCTGACTACAGGCTTGGTCACCAAAAGAGACAGTCCAGTTGCAGGCAAAACCCTCGTGAGCCAGTGCCAGGCAGAGCTCCTGACTCCAGTCCCATTTCTCATTCCTTTACGTGCCCAGAAGCCACCACCCATATTCAGGTAGCCAGTGCTTGGCATTCTATCTCCTCCCTACAATCAGAACCCATTTGAAAGAAGAGCCTTGCACTAGACATTTACAGATAAGGATGGATTTAGTTTGGTGATAAAGTTGTGGATTCAAACATTTTGATCCCACACTTTAATTAAGCAGCCAAAGGCTCTGCTTCTGGTTCACAGGCAGTCAGGCCTTGACTGATAGTTTGGAAAGGAAGCTGAGATGGTGGAGCTTTGGCCCTGCCTCAGAAGTCAGAGCTGTTCTGGGGCCCCAAGGTGGCTCAGTCGGTTAAGCATCTGACTCTTGATTTTGGCTCAGGTCATGATCTCAGGGTCGTGAAATTGAGCCCCGTATCAGGCTCCATGCTCAGCGTAGAGGAGCCTGCTTGAGATTTTCTCTCTCCCTCTCCCTCTGCACTCCCCCACCCAACTCATCCGCTCTCTCTCTAAAATAAATAAATAAAATCTTTAAAAAAAGAAGTCAGAGCTGTTTACATGACCTGAGCCCCAGCCCTGCCCTCTCCCAGAGTCTGCCTATCTGATACTTGGATTCTGTTTTTAATAAGCTTGAAATGCAAACACAAATCCTGCTAATGGAACTTTAGCTGAGAATTCAATGAAGACAAGAGATGAAGTTGGCTTGTTCACTCTTGTGTCTCCTGGGCCTAGAACAGAGCAGGTGACCAAAATATAGATATCCAGTGAACAGTAGACGGAACACCTCTTGAGTGAAGCATTGTTTGATGGGATTGATTTATGTCGTGCTCGTTGCTTTTGAAGGCAGAAGTCTTTCCTGTGGATATATGCCGGAGTTGAACAGTTGATTTAAAAGGCTTCCTAGGGCGCCTGGGTGGCTCAGTTGGTTAAGCGACTGCCTTCGGCTCAGGTCCTGATCCTGGAGTCCCGGGATCGAGTCCCGCATCGGGCTCCCTGCTCAGCAGTGAGTCTGCTTCTCCCTCGGACCCTCCCCCCCTCATGCTCTCTCTATCTCATTCCCTCTCTCAAATAAATAAATAAAATCTTTAAAAAAAAAATAAATAAAAGGCTTCCTACTCTAAAATTTTGGTTAGCACATATGAGAGGTGATTGCCCTTTGGCCAGCTGTCAGTGTGGGAGGAGAGTTCCCCACCCCCAGTCATGGGGCCAGGTGGTACTGTCAGGTGATCTTTTGAGTTGGGGAGGGAAGGCCAGTATGCCAGGAACAATTACAGGGCTATATTTGAGAAGGACTCCTGATTCCTTTACACAGCATTCAAGGCCTTTTTTTGTGATTTATTCCCTTTAATGAATGTTTACTGAACAGCTACTGTGCTAGTTTCCTGAATAAAAAACACCCCAAAATGCACTGACTTAAAACAATAATTATTTAGTATTGCTCACATTTCTGCAGGCTGGGGTGGCTGATCTAGGCTCACGGTGCTAGGCACCTCTACTAACCTGAGCTAGGCTTTTTCACTTGTCTGCAGCTGACTGCTGGCCAGAGGCTATGAGCTAGCTCTACCACACAGGTCTCTCATCTTCCTCCTAGGATCACAGGCCAACACAGGTGTGCTCTTCTTAGGGCAAGGACAGAAGTGCAGGAGGACAAGCCCAACCATGAAGTGTTCTTCATGTTTTTGTTGTACTATGTCTTCTGAGCCAATGACAAAGTCAAGGAGTTGGGACATACACTCTGTCCATGGAAAAGAGAGAAAAGAGGGAGTGGATATATCTGAACAAAGATTTAATCTACCGTATCAAGCATGTACCAGGAATATCCCATCAGCTTCACTCACCAGTTAAGTCTTTGTACTCTTACAGGTCCAGCCTTCCAAACACATGAGTAAATGAGTGCCATGAGGGTAGATGGCAGAGGAAGGAAGAACCACCATCTATTTGACCTCATCTGTGGTGAGATAATTTGGACTTATTATAGATTTATGTTTAAGCCAGTAATTCTTATCTGTAGGGGAGGGAGATCTC